CATTGAACTTCTATCCTTTTTTCAATTCAGAACGCGTAGAACTTCATAGCAAACAATCCTTTCCAGAGCAGCAGGACGGTTTCATTATACTTGGAGGGGATTGTCTCAGAATACCTTGAAACAACCATGTAATTTCCGCGGCAGTTTCGGCATGTAGGCCGCATAAGACCCCCCTCCGCCGCGGATCCCATTGCATATGCTTGGCCCTGGCTCAGGTGCATCCAGTGGGTCCATTCCGCCTTGGTGTCGTGAAAATGCCGTTGTGCTCCTCTAGTCATAGGCCTAAGGGATGGAATCCTCCCACCAACCATAGGTAGTACACCGAATAACAGCTAATCTTTATTATAGTCGTCTCCAATACGGGAAAGAGCAAATACAGTGACGGCGTGCCGGCAGCGGCGAGGCGATAGGCGGCTGGTCGGATCCGGTCGAGCGGGCGGCGGCAGGAAGGAACCCGTATGTGTGAGTGACACCGGCGCCATATCTGCTGCGCGCCCGTGGGCGAACCCTGTAATCACAAGCTCGAACGCCGCTATTCAGCTTGCTAACTAAGTCTCTCACTGCTGATCGCCCTTACACTCTTCGTCCGTCGCTTTCCGGTCTGTCCTCACACCTGGCAGTACGGTCGCCTGTCAGGTACTGCAGTTGAACTTGATCATTAACACTTTTGCTTTCAATTTGTTTCGTCCCTTACCTCATACAAGCCATTGTAATTCCGCCAACCCCGGGACTCTTCAGTGAGATAGAGTGGACGAAATGAGGGCAACAATGGGGAGGAGTTAACAAAAAGATTATGAGAAATTGATGCCAAACCCCCTAGTGATAGCAGATGTGCCGTGAACCGTTGGCTTTTTGGAAACTACGAATCGTATACCATTTCAGACAGCACCAGTCGTACTCGATCTGCCCACGCTTACATGTACTGCTTTGTTGGACGAGAGCCAAGTGCTCAATTTGACAGTGGCTGATCGAATGAACCAACTTATGTGTAGATATGAGACAGTGAGAAGTTTCTTCGAATTTTTACAAACTTCTTCGGAAGTTTTGTATTTTTATAATGATGCCGGGTTTTTGTTGACACACACGGATTCAGAAGAGCTGATGTTTCACTAACGTAAGTGGAGCGTTTGTTAAGAGGATGCACCCCTTGTAAAATAATCACACAGAGATTCCGCGCTCAATCCACTCGTAAAATTCCTCCTCTGCCTCAGGGGTTCGATGCATCTCAAGGATTGTCTGTCTTTTCCGGCCCTGTAATGAGAGAAGCGGGCGCTGCGGTCAACATAAGTTGCAGTCATATACGGTACCGTACGATATACCGTATCTAACTGCAACTTGTGATGGCCGCATCGCCCTCGTCGCGAAAGTGAACACTTTCTCCGATTATGCAGCGGACTAATTGGGCAGGGAAAGAGTCCTACGTTTTGGTTAAAGGCACGGTCCGCGATCAGGTATCGAAGTTGAAAATATGGCGTCAGGAGGTTAGAGTGGTCCGCGACGAACAACCTTGTACCGGTTTCGCGGCAAAAAATTCTAAGGGAGGGCGCTATAGCGCAATATAGGTTCAGTGGTTCCTCCTTTTTTCCAGTGACTCCGCCTCCAATGCCCGGCTTTCAGTGAAAAACGAGATTGCAGGACGAAAAAGCATGAAAATCGTCACTTGTACGATCGTAGAGTTCTTATCGGTGAATCAGCTGTGCGTATGAGGGCGTAGTGTGGGAGATAGAGTTAATTGGGCACGTACAAACTGGGATCAAAATGGGGTTCTATCTAGGGCAGGTGGCATGTTTTTGTGCTTTTTCTTCACTGTCGAGTTACTCAGCCCCTTGTCGTCTATATGATGGCGAATAATCGCGAGTTCTGCCTTTAAGCGTGGAGTCTGTCCATAAAGGCCACGCATGGGAACGTCCTTGCCTACCACTGTGCCTTCCTCATGGGCGTCCCCCACCCTGGAAGACGGTGGAGGGACACAGGCGATTTTATGGGAAATACGCATTGGAACGCTTCAGTTCCGCCTATGCCACCAATGCGGATTCTATCTTCGCACTCTAGTCTCATACTGTGGATCGCAACATTTCAAGTGCTTTGATTTTATTTTCAGCTTTGCCCGTTGTCATGCAACTGTTGCGGGGGTCAGTCATGCCCATGTCGAAGTACATGTCCACCTCAGTGTCAATGCTATCGATCTGTCTACATCGAGCTTCGGGTAGGTGTTTTTATCGCCTTAAAATAAATCGATTTCGGCATTCATAAAGAACCGTTGCCTAATGAATGATTGGGAAGTGTGACGCGAGGGCGGATCTTATGATGTGGCCTCAACGAGGCTGGAGACTTCAAAACCTTACTGTATCCTTTACTGCATTGAACGCGAACCATCCCCAGGGGTAATATGTACCTTTACCTATGGATCTGCTGTTCCGCGCGATCAGCACTCCTATATTTTTGAAGGGAACGATGAAGAAAGACAGACTGTCTAGTCCGAGGGCTCATCAGAGACAACAAAGTTCGAATCCGTTGTAGGTCATTCAACAAAAACTCTTCAAGAGGAG